AAAATGATTTAACACTTCTTTTATAATTTCTTATAGCGTTAATTTATTGCGACTGGATATTAATTTACAGAGTAATTAAGAAAAGGATATAAATCGAATTGTTAAAATAATTTTATAACATAAAATCTAAGTTTCTTGCAAAAAGAAGATAAATATTATTTTATCCACATATTCATTCTAATTTAATTAAAAATATTACAAAAATTTCCATTCACAAAAAGATACATATTCTTTTTAGAAAGAATAATATTGATTCTAATCATCATACACAATTATATTTATCTTTCAAGAGAAATTTTAGAGATTTTCGTATACCACAAAACACCAATCTTAATCCAAATAATAATTTTCAAACAAATTTTCTCATTAATATAATATATCATAAATCTAATTTAATCTATTTTCGAATTAATTCGATTGAAAAAACTCATTTCACGTAAAAGCAAAGTTTCTTGAAACCCTTCATTTTGTGATTGATGACAAATACGATAGATTTTATTTATATAATTCATACTATCTCGCTCAAAAGTGTAGAAATATTCAATTAATGAAGAACTTGACGTTTGTTTTTCTGAATTTACTTTATACAGTTTTTTTTATGAGCAAGCCAATTATCGTTCGTGATTCCGTTTTGTAATTAATCGAGGAATTATGTGAGGTGGCTCGTGCTGGCGAATAATTACATGCATATTTAATAAAGACTTGCATAAGGCAATCCGTTATATTAGTGAACATCGAGTCGTGAATATTTTGAACAGTTCTGTTAATAGGAAACCAGAGTTGTGAGCGTCATGAATTTTCTAATTATTATACGTATTTTTTTAAAGAATTATTTGTATTTTTAAAATTTGTTTGAATACAATTGATAATATTTATATTTTTATATTTTAAAGTGAAAAGTTAATAAAGAGAAAAATTATTGATGACATACGACTAGTTGATGGAACATTGAATGAAATAAGTCAAGAATATAATATTAATCTTTTGCAACATTTTTAAATTCATTTAAGAAAAGTTAAAATTTCATTTTTAAATATCTTTTATTATCTGATTATTATTTTAACTTGTTTTTGAAGAAATATATTAAATAATAAAATAGAAATATTAATAAATAAATTTAAAGTATTTTTGGAATTTTTGAAAGATTTCATTTAATTTTAGAAAAAATTAAGAATAAAATACAAGATATAAGAATACTATAGTGTTAAAAAAAAAGAACATCATATATGTATAATATTCATTACATAATTAAATTATTAATTACACAGAAAAAGAATTTAAAAATTTTTAATCATTATTTTTTATTGTTATAAAATTTCCACTTGAGTCAGTTTATAATAATAATATAAAAATAAATAAAAATAAATATGGAATTTTTTCAATTATTATTCATTATTATTATTGCAAAAATTCAATTCGATGTAATTAATGTAATTAGTAGTCATATATTTGAAATATAACAACTCAAAGGCGTATTATTTACCCATAATAAGAAATTAAAAAATTTCTAATTGGTCTTTTTAACTTAATTAGAATTTCCATTCACTTTTTCATTAGATAAAATTTTTCATAGATTTGAATAAAAATTCAATAAAACTCGAAAATATGCTATTAATGCCTATTATTGATTAAAAAAATTCTAATTATTATTTTCTCTTTTTAATGTCTCAAAAATTCAATTTAAATTAATCACATATTACAATTTCTTTATTTTTATCTTTCTATTATCAGATTCAAATAAAAAATACTATACAATTCATTTTCAATTACCAATATCCTTATTATTTTACTTCCAAAATATAAATTCTTAAACTCTCCATATTAAATTCAGAAATTCAGTAGAAAAAAACTATCTAATAAATTCAAACACATCATTTATCTCGCGCATTTCCGCAAGTTCAGCTTCGATTAACGATAAGAATCTTAATGATGTTATCCTATAATCTTCACTTGGCTCGTTTGATCAATGATAAACAGTAGCGATTGAGTGGATGCGCGCGCAGTGTGCGATAGTCGATTCTCGATCCGATCGAGGTATCGAAGAAGAGGAGTAGAATGCGCGCGAACGCCATAAGCCGCTTGAAACCGTTATACCGTTTGTAACACACAAAGTATCGGCATTATTTTCTAATGCTCTTGCGTTGTTCGCAGGTCCTAATTTCTCTGGTTTATATGTTGGTATACATCAACCTGGTGAAGATCGGTTTCATTTCGCCCGTCATTTCCGTTCTGTTTTTGCATGGAACGATTATTCATCAGTTATACACATGTTTCACGTATTTCTGAGTTTACCTCTTAACCTCTTATTTTTAATGGGAAGATTTTTGCTATTTATATTAAAATAATTGCATTTAAAATTATCTCTATGGGTAATTATTTCTATATGATTAGAATATATCGTCACAATATTCATAAGATACATCATTATGATGGAATATAGCATAATCTATGATAAGAACGTGATGACAATTATATATTATTGAGTCAATATTATTTAGTCGAAAGAATAAATCTATTATTCTAATTAATGTGTGCAAAAATTTGAAATTGTTAAAGCAAAAAAAATAATATAATTTATACATGCTTGTCGAAAGTAACATAAATTGACAAAACTTTGTAATTTTATATTTTTTAATCTTGTATTTTTAAATGTAGAATATATTTTAAAAGTATCATGTGACTTGTGTCATCTCAATAGAGTCGTTTTGTTTATGATATATTTGATATTAAGAGCTTGAACAATGAAGAATTAGTAAAAATTTTTATGGAGTATTAAATGATTTTGAGTAGCGCATAGTTGATTTGAAGTAGAAATCATTTCAAAAAATTGCAAGATTATTTATACTTTTTTTGTATATTTTTGTATATATTAATGCATTGTGTAAATATCAAAATGTATTAATGTACTTACGTTGAAAATTTATTAAGATAAGTTTAAAAAATATTTTAATATTTATTTCATTTTACAATTTTAATAGCAATAAAAGATGAGGAAAGAAACAAAGCATATTTTTATTGTGAATATGAATATATAGAATTAAAGTAAAATACTTTTTCGATTAATCAATTTTCGACATAATAATATATGTTATAATTTAAAATTTCTAATTTTTTTTACTTATAATATAATTTTACTTATTATTTTTTATAGGAAATAAAAAAGCGCTTTGATTTGCATATAAAGTATATTATTCTATTTAAGAAATCTTTAAAATGTTTCTGGATTATATATATCAAGTGATTCATTACTGGAAATTATTTAATTTTGCTCAATGAAATTTTTATCCAATACTAATGTTTTAAAAATGATTAGATAATTTAATTGTATTTAAAGGATTATTATTAAAACTAGAAGCTGAAATAATTTCAAATATTTAGTATTTATATAAATTAATAAATTTTAAGCTCGGATAAAAATAATAAATTCTAAATATTTAAGAGCCAAATCAAAAACGCCAAAAATTCAAATTGTAACGATTAAATACAGAAGTAAAATATAAATAAATTCAAGAAATAACTATAAATAATTTATTATTAATTTTAAAGAATATTTTCAAAACATTAAAACAAATGAGATTTATATAAAATGTAAATTATGATTTATTAATGAGTCATGTTAAATATTAAAATCATAAACAAAAATTAAGGCTACAGTTGTCATTCGTTACGTATCTAATTTATTACTTTATTAATTATATTTAAAAGATTTAAAAGTAGTATATAGCAATATTTTTTAAATTTAAAACTCCTCATCCTTTTAAAATATTAAATCAAATGGGATTTATAAAATTTTAAATTTAATTTCTCATTTTTAATTTTATACTTATATTATACTTATACTAATAAAAAAACATATAAAACATTTACTAATCTTTTATATAATACACAAATTCAAATTTTCTAAATATCAATTTAATCGACGAATTGAATCCTTTTTCTAACGCACTAACACAACAAGTCCAACGAGTTTGATGTTGACTCGTCAAACATTCCCAAAAGATATAATATATAAACGTCATAGTAACAAACATACTAAGAAACATCAGCTAATTTCTATTCTTATAGTTTATCGCAGGAAAACGGTTGCATGTAAGTACACATGGTACGCGAATAATTCCTTCTCGGTGAGAGCTGGCTGCCAGAGTCATGTAAAAGTGGATGTCCTATTAATGGAAAACAACTCGCGTTATCTCGGCTTCCACGCGGAAGAACAGCTGTCACAAGCGAAGGAATTGTCGTTGAACCTGTCAGCTTCCTATCTATCATGTTCTCCTATATATCGATCATAACCAAAATCGTCGATATATATCAACACGACAAAAGCCTTCCTGCATCACGTGGAATTGCACAACGCGTTCCACGACAAGTCTTTTCTCCCTTCTCGAGGCGACGAATTAGAAAGTGTTTAACGCGTTTCCAACCGCTGCTGGTTTGTGTGATGCAAATATCGTTTGCACAAGAACGAGACACGGGAAAATTGTATAAAACTCGCTTGTAGTATTGCTATTTTTTTACTGGATTTGATATGATTAAATTATTTTTATCGAATCATGATTTACATGTTGTTTTTCGTCTAATGTTGCGAAATAGAATTCTTTATTTGCAGATGTACACTAACGTGAGATTGTAAAATATTTTTTTGATATGAGTTTATTCTTTTTGTAAAAAAAAAAAATATTTTTTCGAAATATTCATATTGATTTTTTGGATAACCAAAACTTATTCTCAAAGTTAATCTATTCGAATATTTATAAATATATAATTTTCTTAGAAACTGATAGATAGATAATTTTATTCAGACTTTAATCTTCGAATTGAAGAACTAAATATCATCAATACGTGAAATTTAATTAATTAATAAATTTTCTTTCACTCAATTCAATTTAACAAAAAATGAAATTATTATACAAATTATTATACGGACATAGTCATAACACTCACTCAAAATTATAACATCATCAAAAAATACAAAAATATAAAACGTCACGAAGAAAACTCACCCTCAGATCGTGTTTCCACAACACAAGCGAAGAGCAACACCACCGCCAACAATTTCGTGAACCAAAGTCTCCACATGTCTTCGCCCATCTGTTTCCCCGCTGTCACGGAGTTACGAAATCAGAGGATGCACACTCTCATGTAAATCGGTCCAAACGTTACAACGTTACCTCGTTACATCGGCACCAAAATCGACTTTTCCCTTCTTTTACACTATTCCGTATCGATCACCTTTACCGTTCGATCCAAAATCAAACAAACAATCAATTTCAAAAATCCTTATTTTTCTCATCCAAAAATAATTCTACCAAAACCGGCACGTTGAACGAAAACGTTTTTAAAAAAATTACAATAAATCCAAAAAAACAAATCCAATCTCCTTTTAAACAAGGGATAGGGGTGTTGTTTGGAAAAAGCGATAAGTCTTTTCCTCTTCTTATTGTCACAGTCTGTTCACGAAGATACGAAAAATTTTCCACCTGGTCACCAGACAGTGCGGTTAACGAGAGCTCCGGTACTCGAGCAACCGACCGATTGACCTTTCTCCCGGGTGCGTAACTTTGTCTGTGTCCCGGTGAGGACTGAAGGGGAAGCAAGGCCCGCCGCCGGCTGTTGGGAACCGGAGAAAGGTGTATCGAGAGAGAGGCCAGAGGCGAGCCGGTAAGGCCCCTCTTCTATCACTCCTGTTCCCCCTCCCTGCCCGATTCAACGGTCCCTCTCTTTTCCTCAAATGGATATGGTGGTTCCTTTTCGTCCTCGTTGTCGTCTTTGTGGCGAGAGGGATCGTTTTGTCTGTCGCGATACTCTTTCCTTCTTTGCCGGATTGTTATTGTCATTGTAATTGCGCACGCGCCGTTTCGATTGCGAGGTTTGTTTGTACTCGCGCCAACTTACCGAGGGCTATGACGCGGCCTTGCTTCTTATCTCTGAAGAGAATACCTCGTTGTCTGGAGGTGGGTGGAGAGAAAGAGATCAAAAGAAGAATCAAGGGGTTCTTTAAATCAATGGGGGTGAAATTAATAAGTGTGGATGGGGGATGAGGGGTTGAGGAGGAGAGATGATGTAATGATTGAGGAGTTGGAAATAATACTTGAAAATTGAGGAATGAGAATAATGGAATAGTTGAAAGGGTATAATAAGGGTATGAGAATTGATATGATTGAGAGTTGAGAAGATATTAATTGTATTTATTGAAAATTCATGATTATGAATTGGGGAATTATAAGTTAGTCAAAATTAAAACGTGAAATGATATATAAATTGTAGAAGATAAGTTGAGATTATTTGTATTTTATATATTTATAAGATTTGGAAATGATATTGGGAGGGGTGAGAAATGAAAGTAATGGAATAATAATTTAAAAAATGTAGAAATCAATGATAATCCATTGAAAATTGGAATATGGAGGGATAAAAAAATTATAAAAAATTAAAAATAGAAAAGTTGTTTAAATAGAATTAAATTAAATTAGAATAAATCGAAAGATATCTATGTATACTAAGCATACATAACGTAGTTAAAATTTAAAAAATTAAGTCGACAGATTAAAAAACAAAAAAGAATTCCACATTTTTTTCAAAACCTATAAAACATTGCCCAACAAAATATCTTGTGAAATTTATATTCATAAAGAAAGTTGTTCGATTAATTCCAGTTCCGTTCTTTTTCGCCTCTTTCCTGTCTTACCCGTCGTTCCAGTATCGCGACTTTCGAGCTATATTATAAGACCACCCGTTACGTGGTAATTCAACCGAATGCACCAATGGAGTCGAGACGCCGTTACAGCTGGCACATTCGCGTTAATTTACTTGTCAAATCTCTGCTCCACTAATTGGAAGACTCATTCTTGGTCATTTTCCATTACGATAAACCGTAAGCTCACATTTGATCGGAATTGAATTATCAAGAAAACGATTATCAATAAGTATGAATCGTATAGCCGTTGTTCGGTCTTTATGATAATGGATAATTTTGAAAAAAGAAATCCTTAGGATGAAACGATCCATTGATTAAATTTGAATACGTTCAATCGAGTCTCGATTAATTCTGTAAATTGTCCTCAATTAAACATCAAATTAATTTGTATTTGATCGTTTCTCATCTGTTCACTCCTATCTTGTGAACAAGTACGTCCGTTAACCGTGGAATACGAATGTTTGATCGATGAATATTTATCGGCGAAAGAAAGGCGGGAAAATATGGAGGTTCTTAACATACTCTACTATCTACTATGTGAATAGAATTTGTCTAAAATTACTTTCAAAAATAACGGATCTTTGATTTACTTTTTTTAAAAGAGAAAAGTAATTTATGCGAAATGATAATCCGAAAGTAACGATCCACTAGTTAGACAGTTCTTTTCAAATGTTTGGAAATATTTCGTGTGAAATATTCTATCGAAACACTTATCTAAATAATAACTAAAAACTGAAAAAAGTGGAAATATTTGAGTTTTAATTAAAAAGTAACAGTGAATAAAACAATCGTTACATTTTATTACAGAAGAAATATTATGCATTTTATATAGTAATATTTTATCAAATTTTAAATTTAATCCTTTTAAATTTTATTAGATACATATATATGAAATATCTTACTGTTGAATTGTTAAATTAAAATAATAATATTGATTATATACATCTTTAGAAATAACGATAATATGTAAAGAAGTAACGATAACTGTAAATTATTATTACAGATATAATACGAATATTAATTTTGTTATTGTAAAAAAATTTTATATATTCATTCTAATAAAATTTAATTGAAAGTTTGGCAATAAAACATTAAAATTTAATATTAATAAAACTGCTGTAATAAATTAATTGCTGATTAATTCCTCCTATAAAAAAGGAAATTTCATTTATAAATATTTACGAAATTTTTAACAATGCAATAAATATTTAAGATTGAAATGTTGAAAAACCATTTTATTCCTTATTCATGTTTCGTGTGTATTTATTTCGCATTTATCTTATTATTATTAGATATGTTCTTTAATTATAATTTTGTATCACATATTCAAAATTTACGATAATAATTATAATAAATTTGAAATGAATTATTTACAATTTTATTTTTATTCTATATTTTGGTATATTTTTCTATATTTTATGTTCTATATTTCTATATTTTTCTATGTCTTTCACATATAATGTATTATAATAATAATATTGATAGAATTTTCGAAAAGAATAAATATCAATTTAAACAATTTGAAGTGATAAATATATATATAAAAAATAAAAAAAATTAGCTAATAAGAATTACATAAAAATTTTAATTCTAATATTTGTTACTTTTCAATAAAGCTATAAAGTTTTATTAAAAATTCTATCATTTCATCTAGAGACATTTAATAAACATATTATAATTACGAACTATAATAAATATAAAATCTATAATAAATATAATTAAAAAAATCTACAAATTTATATATAATAAATGTAATAAAAATCGAAACTATCAAAATAAAAAATTCCTATCCTACCGAAATATAATATCTAAATATAAAATAATAATAAAAATTTAAAAAACCGATAGAAATGCATTATAATCGCAACAAATAACAAAAAATAGTAAACTTATCCATAAAATCTTCCATACATTTAATTTTCTACGAGTAATAAACGTTCTACCACCCACGAATCTCTCAATGTCTCTTTTAGAACCATCCTGTATGCTTCTCCAAGATTCAGTTTCTTGGAATGTTCCTCTTAGGAAGCCAATCTTACCAACCGTCTCCCGATAAGGTGGTCCACCTGTTGATCAGGCTTGAATGAACTCGATGGTAAAATGGGCACGATTCTTGAAGGAAGCTGTACGATATAATGGCTCCTCAAGGTGGGAGGTTCGCATTATAGGTGGCGACCCGAGGACCTACATTTACGGAGCGGACTCTTCTCTTTTCCCGGTGTGTCTGCCTCGTCTCCTCTCGAGTATTCGTGTCGATGTCGGTTGACTTGCTTACCAACCGATTCTCTCAAATACCGTCGTCGAGATTCCACTGGAGAAATTACTCCCTTCCTCCGATTCTTTCTTTTCTCCATATCCTTTTTTTTCTTTTTTTCCTCTTTCTATCTCTCTCTTCCTATTTTGTTTCTTTCTTCTTTGCATCACCCAGAAGCGTCACGCTTCTGGACCGCGAAATTGAACGATGTCGCGGAGAAAATGTCTAAGGAGAGATTTACAAAAGAGTATGTTAAATAATCATCGTGCAAAATTAAATGATTTTAATATTTAGATAAGAAGAATTTGTTCAATCCTTTGTATAATTTTTTGTATAATTATAAATTAATATGATTAAATGATCGCAAAAAGCAAGAATAAAATGAAATTTAAGAGATATTCAATTTGATATAATATATATAATATATATAATATATATAATATATATATATATAGTGTAATACATTAACATTTTTCAAACAAAAGATTATTTATATTTACAAATTAAAACTTTAATCTACATGGATAATTAAAGACAAAATATGTAAACCTACAAAACTAATTCCGATTCTTTGATGTCTAATAAAATTATTTCGATTTTCACTAAAATTTTATGGAAATATTATAAATAGCATTGGTATGATTTATGAAATATTTTTTATAGTATCTATTTATTTTTCTAACAATACATTTCTTTTAATATTCGATGAATTTTTGAAAAAATTCTTACAGAAAGTAAAACTTTATAAAATTTTGTTCTGTATTTTCAATTTATTTTTATATTTTTTTTATAAAAAATTTTGTTCTTTCCTGACTGTTTACAATTTTTGCTGAGTCACACTATTTGGCAATCCCGTTACTTTTCAGGTAAACTTTACACTTTATATTGTTACATTTCACAATTATCATATAGAATATAATATTTGGTAAGAATATACCAAAAATGTAATGCAATTCCAACAAAATCGTATTTCTATTTCTTTTTTGATAATTAGATACCATCGACTTCATTGTCAGCTATTTTTACGCTCGCTTAAACTTTACGATCTCTTGATGTTCTTGCATTCCTAATTATATCCGATGTTAATCCACCCTCTTAAACGAATTAGTATAGCCCAATTAGAAAGTTGATAGTTCAACTATTTTTGATTTTTGTCTTCTTCAATGAATATGCGGAAGAATGATGAGACAATGGAAATATGTATCAGGAATTCAAACTATTATTATAGAAGAAAAATTGCAATCATAGTTTGAATTATTTATTCAGAAATTGATAATTTTGAGGTTAATATTTGTTGGGCTTGATTGAGGCCAAATTTTATAAACAAATGGTTTTATTAAATAAATATTTATTTTAATGAACTTCTTTAATAAATTTTCAACAATAAGAAAATATACTTAAAATTATTTATTATTGCTAACAACACTTCAAACACATAACTATTATATGATTTTTGTTTATAATGTAAAATTCTAGAAAGTTATTTTATGTGATGAAAATAATATATATCATGTATACTTATAATTAAATAGTTGATGTTTCCAATATTATCAATTAGAATGAGAACAGTTTTTCATTTTTTTTATATCTTGTTCGAAATAAAAAAATGTTATATCTCTCACGTCTTATTATTCTCAATAAATAAACTTTAATATTAAATCAATCGTAATTATTAATATTATTATATTATTATAATTATAATTATTATAATTATCTATATTATGCAATTTATGATAAATAAACTAATTACATGTAAATATACGTAAATACATTATGCATAAAAAGTTCGTGAAATATTTTTCGATTTTTATTAACAACATTACAGCTATTTTTTTATTGAGTTATATTACATTTGTTTATATTATTAGGAACAATTTTTATTAATTATATAGTCTAATAGAAAAAATTATCGTAGTTATTAATATTGAAAAACAAAAAACATGTATTTTTTAAAACAAAGAATATGTATATTTAAATAGTGAGATGATGAGATAGCTTCCTGTATGCAATATGTAAATAAGTATTCTAATATAACCTAATAATCGAAAATTATAATAAAGAGTTGTATTAATATATCATAAAACGACAGAGTATATCTATTGATAATTTAGCAAAGCAAAAGCTTCGCTAACTTTCACTCTTATCCACGTGATCGATCCCCTCTTTGTTTTTCTTTTCTGTACTCTTCTAAAGAAATTCCTTACAATTGAGATATATTGTTGCAATAACTTCATTTATAACATCTATTATATGTGCATATTTTTTATATTGATAATTAATTCGTTTGAAAAATTGTTCGGATTCTCATAATTTAAAATACTTTATTAAATTATTTTATTACATTAATAATTCAAAGATGAATAAACATTGAAATTGATTTGAGATAATGAAATACAACTTTTAAGATAGAACATTATTTTCAAAGAATATTTTTAAGATTTTTTACAAAATAATTCTTTTTAATATATTTTTAAAATTAAAATAAGATGCAAAACGTAAGTACTTTTAATCCTTTTCGATATATTATTAATTGTTTAAAGGATCACAGTATTTATAATCAAATATTTATTTCATATTACAGTTATTAATCTATATATAGTTATTAAATTATAATATTATAGTTATTAAATTATAATATTCGATCTTTATTCTGAAAATTGCTTTTTATAATTTTTTGATTTTGATTTGATCATTAAAATTTATTAGGAATTAATTATTCGACGTTTTTTATTAAAAAAAAAAATAAAATCTTGAATACAATGTTTTTATTTTTATTATAATTTATTATTTTACTTATATAATTATTTGTTCTTTGTTTTCATATAATCAAACAAAGAAATAACGAAATAATACGCATATATATACAAAAATGCATATTAGTGTAATAAATTTATGCAGTAATTTATGTAATGACCCATATATTCGTTCAATATTTCATAATCAATATTTTTTTTTCCCTATTGTATTTTTTTCTTTAGTTCTTTTTATTTTAAATGGAAAATTGGCAGAAACGAGAAAAATTAACAGAACATTTCATAAATAAAAAAAATCAAAATTGTTTGTATTATTTTTTTTAATAAAGGATGAAAAGAACAAAATATATTTTTTATAAAATTTATTCTATTTCCATAATACATTCTATCAATTGATTATTTTCAGATGAATCAATTGATTTATTTAGTGAATTTTCAATATCTTCAAGTTTAACTTCTTCAGAAGAATTTTGTAGTTTTTTTGAAACTTTTGTTTGAATATCTTTATTTTCTTTTGATTCTTTATTTGCTTTTTTTAATGCTTCATTTAAATGTCTTTTACCAAATCTTCTAAATTTAAAATTAGTCATATATCTTAATTCACCATTCCAATTTCTTAACATTTCGCATTGAGTTGGATTTAAAATATCAGGAATTTCTGAAACATAAAAAAATTTATAAATATATAAATGCGCATTAAAAATAATGAAAATTTGGTATATACAATAATAGTTATAACAATAATATATAACAATAAGACAAGTTGTAATTATATACCTATTCCACATGTATCATACTCTTCTTGTTCTCTTTCTCTACTCATTCTTAACACATCTTCCCTACTTGCATGTTGCTTATTTCTCTTGTAACTTATAGACCTTTTTATAACAATTTGTTCCATTTCTTCATCATGTCTTGCTATATATCTTTAAATAAAATACAAAAATAATTAATCATATCTCTAATTTATAATCCTATCTTACCTACGTTTCTAGCAAACGAGCAGTTAATTCTGGAGTATAAGGACAAATATCTGGAATCATATTTTCTTTGATCCATAACATTTTTTCTCCTACTAAATTTTGTTTAATCAAGCCATTAATTTTTGCTTTTTGCCTATTTGTTATTCTAAAAAAAATAAAATATTTGTTTTATTAATATACAATATAAAACATAATATAAAAATATAAGATATAATATAAATCATGTATAAAAATATAAGATATAAAAAGATTGCAATAATTAATTAAATTTACTTTCTGGTTCTTTTTGCAATTGCAATAGATTTTCTACTATTTGGATGCGCAACTTTCTTTGCTTTTAGAAACTCTTTTCTCATTGCAGTAGCCTATAAAATAAAACAACATATATAAATAAATTTTCTAAAATAATAAATCATATATTTTATTCAAATATAATAATCTTACCATGTTTGTGGTTTATTATAATTAAAATTCTATCCTTCAAAACTTCAATTGAAAACATATGAAAACCTAACCTATTTCTCGAATAAGAAAATTAACTATAACCATAGACTATAATCTACTATAGCTTAACCTTAGAACATATATATTTATAGATACGATTCGTATAACGATTTAAGTAAAGATAATAAAAAAATATATGAGAATAATAAAGAATATCATTTATATTTAAAATAATAGTAACTTCATCAGATACTATCTTATACAAAAAAAATTGAAACTTATTAAAATTATTTTAATTTATAATCAATAATTATGAATAAATAATTTTTCTCTAAACATTTGTATATTGTTCTTAATTTTTTCTTAATTAAAATAAGTTATAAAGAAATTAAGTAAATTAAATGTTATCAATATCTCAATTAAAATTTAATTTTTTCAAATTATAATTTATAGAATATATATTATAATGAGCATTTAAAATTATAAGAATAAAATAAATATGATATAAAAAAAAATAAATAATATAAATATTTCTTAATAATGATTTAATAATGATTAAAATTTAATAATGATTATATTATTCGCAAATATTTAAATATTGTTTTAATAAAAATTTCTATCATTACTCGGTTTATATCATATAGATAACTTAATGTTTGCTTCAAACAATTATTTAATATATATGTCATATCTATAAATATTTATATGATATAAGGCTATAACATACTTATGATCTAAGGCTACAATAGCGATAGTCATGACATCTCACGACAATGAAAGTAACATCGAAGAATTTTATATTACTATACTTCCGGTTTAATAAAATCAAAATTTTTTTCTTCTGTTTCGAGTTATTTTTAGCAATTTCTGTAAATATTAAAATAATAACCTATTTTACAATATTTAATCTTTGATAAATATTTATTAATAGAATTTTATATGAAAAAAGTTTTTTTTGGAAATATACATATATTTATTAAGCAGAAAAGGTAAACTTAAAGTAGACAATGAGAATGAAAGTTTTTATTATTATATTTTTCCTCTTGATTTTAACGTCAAATGGAACAAGTTTTGGTAGAAAAAAATCTAAATGTCGAAAGGACAGTGAGAAAACTTTAAGTAAAAACGATGAGAACTTAACAGTCGATTATTATTATAATTGTGACCCAACAGAATTTGGAATAGTACAAAAGATTCCGTATTTGCGTTCTTGTTCGACATGTGACACTATAGAAATCAATTTCTCTTCCGCTTGTATCAGATGTGGAATGTGCCTTGCCATTGCTGATAAGGTTTAATTCATTTTCATTTTTTTCGTCCGTCTTATTCTCTTTTCCTTGCACAAATTATCCTAATATGTGCATTTTATTATTTTATATTTTATCGTTTTTTTAAAAATTTTTTAATCTCTTAATATTAGTTTTCTTAATATTTTATTTCTTCAAGAAAAAAGAAATACATTTATAATTATATGCAAAATTTTAAAAATTCTTATGTAAGATTAACGTTTTTTCATTTTTATTTTAAAATTATAAATGTATAATAAAATATTCATGAGAAAGAGAAATAAGAATGAAATAGAGAAAAATCAGGTCAAAAGTTGTCATTTCTCAAATATACTGCAGAGTTAAATTATATTCATATATAAATATTTATATATTTTTATTTTTAAACGATTTGAGTATATTACATTAGATTGCTCGTAAAGTTTGTAGCAAAATTAATATCTGTATTGCTTTTATAAATAGATTGCTATTATACTTTTTATTTTTAATATATACAATAATTTAATATTTTTTATAAAATACATAAAACAAAAATTTTAATATCCAATCATAATTATATACTATTTATATGTTAATTATATAGTATAAAAATAATATATAAAATTTTTTTACAATATTCATAATTATTATAAATGTAATAAAATTAACTTTTAATTCCACTAAATGTTACACCAATACAACCAGAATTGTATCAATTATTAGAAATTTTGTGAATGTTTGAAGCAAATCAATAACAAAAAATAATAATAATTCATTTGTATATATTTTTTTAGAATAAGAATAAAAATGAAAGAATAAAATCCATATAGATATAAAAATTGATTATATAATTATTAATTAAATATAATAAAAAATTACAATAATAAATCGTGACATATGTATTCAGAAGTTTAAAATTTTCGCAGTCAGCATTATTATTAACACACAGTAGAAAATTATTTAATTATAATTTTAAAATATAATAATTATTTTAATAATTATTTATTTGGAAAAATATATTTATATTTATAAATAGATATATAAATAAATTAAAGAAATAAAATAAAAAAAAATAATTGAAATAATTAATTCTAATTAATAATAAATAATTAATCCTTAACTTATAACAGTTCTAACTTTTTCAATAATTTATGTTAATTATATTTTTTATTAAATATTTACATTTTATTTAATATATTTACAAGAATATATTTATATTTAGTAGTATATTATATATTAATTTATACATTAATTATCATATTATATATTAACTTATAACAGTTCTAACTTTTTCAATAATTTATGTTAATTATATTTTTCGGCGGTAATGTCAAATTATTCAGCTCCACAATCGAAATTTGGAGAAAAGAGAAATGGATTTTAGATCTAAAATTTTAGTCTTCGGTACTTATTTTTTTGAAATATTAATAAAAAACTTTCAATATTATACATTGATAACTACATACAAATATTCTAATTCATTGAATGCTGTTATCTAAATATTATTAATACAACAATGCAATTAGTTGTCGTTGCAATTAATGATATTTAAATAGCACATAAAAAATCTCAATTCATCAAAAATCTAATCACTTATTACCAAGAAATTAAACACGTTTGATTTATCGAATGCAAATATTGACAGCTACGAGCAAAATAGAAAAATTAATTTGCAACATAAAAGGAATATAAAAACATTTGATAGATATAACAATTATTATTATATTGGATACATTTTGAATATGATTAATTCCACAAAGTAATAGATATTGGTTATGTCAGAATTTGAAAACAATTTTCGTAACATTGTTAATATTTGCAATTTTTTATGGAAACAATTGAAAATTTTACATAGAAAATATTATAATCGGTTATTATAATGACGACGATTTCTACAAGCAAAAATTGTCACATCAATTAAATACTGAAAGTTGTTTATTAATATTTCGAAAACTAATAAATATTCGAAGTTAAAATTTTATATTTGGAATCTATATTCTCTCTCTTATTATCTTTCCATTTTTTTCCATTTCCTATCTTTCCATTATTGATCATTTTCGAAATTTTTGCTTCTTTATTTTGAAATTATATAATTTTTCAAAAACTTTATACAAAAAATTTATATATTCATACAGTATGAGATTTATACATATAGACATGATATTTATAAATATTTATGAATATGTTTAAAATTTATAAAAAAATTTATACAAAAAGTATACATATTCATAAGTATGAGATTTATATATATATGTCATGATCTTTATAAATATTTATGAATATGTTTACATTTACATTACATTTATGTTTTTTACTGATTGTTGATTGAAAGTTATGTTTCTTAGATAAATCAAACGCTATTAGATGTACACGAAGTGCTACCTAATGCATGTTTTAACGATACCGAAATTGAGCTTCTTTTGAGAACCATATGTGATCATTCTTTTCAATAGTAAATATTTCATAAATAAATTAATTTACTAATTGAAAAAGATAAACATGTATTTATGATTCTTTAACAGCTATGGTCTTCACGAAGTAAATGGAAGAAGATATATTTCTGATAAATTACCAGGTTCTGTTATAGTGAGTACTACTGCTGATGGACTTTGGGGAAAAAGGTGAGTGGTATATTATTAAAAATATGCATTTTATTTTTAAGTAATTAATTAAAATATCTAGTTTTAAAAGCATTAAATTTAATAAAAAGAAAAAATATCATTTTTTTAATTAATTTAAGTATTATATATATAATTATGTAAATGTTAATATAGAAAAAATATAGAAAAGAGCATATCTCATTGATTTCGATGATTTTAAATTTAATAATAATATGTTATTGAAAATAAGATTTTGAACAACTTTTTTCTACAATACTATGCTGCTTTTATGTTGCAAATTGGTTTTTTGTACTCTGGCTAATACTTTTAATATTTGATATGTGATAGGACAAATTCATTTTTTTAATTATTTTTTTTTAATCATTGTTTAATTTTTTGAGAATGAGTAATCAAATTTTTAATGAACTGTAAATGATACATACAAAATCAATGTAGCAATATTCAGAATTAATTATCAACTATTTGATATTCGACGATATATTACATTATTATAATTATAAATATACTATAATAGTATACTATAATATTAGTATTATAATATTAGTATTATAATTATAAATATAAAATTAATGTTTTATTCATATATTTTAATGTACATCTAAATGAGCAGCATTCGATTAGTAATATCTTGTAATATATAAAAAAATTTTTATTAAAATCTCATAAATTATAAATATGTTAAAATTTTAATCAATAATCCTTCTCTTTCTAAATTTCGTCTTTATCAGTGATAGAGACTTTTGAGAATTATAACTTTTTTTTTTTCATTATTATTATAATTTTTATGTTTAAAAATTAATAAATTATAAAAATTAATTTATAAATTTTAAGTAATAAAAATAATATTTATTAATATTTAAAAAATATTTTATCTTTATTTTATTTGATATTTAATATACATAAGAATTTTCTTCATATCTATTGAAAAAGATTGTGATTATAAATTTTAACAATAATATTTTAAGAATAATTAAGAAATCGCATAATTAATTTTAAATAATTAAAAATTTCTTATAATTTATTATGTAATATAATAATTTATTATATACTTATATATTTATGATTGTATGTTCTTTTTTTTTTCTCTTTTTATATTTTATTTTATTTAGATTAAGCGATCTTTGTCATTATTATCTTGATGAAATCGGTGAAATATCATTGTACAAGCAGTGGCAACAGTGGTACGATGATGATGAAAAAAATGATGATTTATATAACATCATGTGTCGGTAATAAAATGAGATTCTTAATTGAATAAAAAATTGAATAAAAAAATATGTTTATTAATACGTTTTTTATTATATTCTTGATTATATTCTGATGTTTTAGAAATATACATGGTCTATTACGAGATTGTAAGAGTATGGAAAATATTGAGAAATACGAATATCCATGTAAAACTTTCAATGCTAAAGTAAAAATCTCTGCAACTTTCGACAGATATGGTTATCGAAGTTAATATTATCCATCGCGTAATAAACTAAACGACAAATATGTAAATACAATTGTAACATATAATTCAAATATATGATTATTTATATACTTTTTCTAGTTATATTATTCAAATATAAGTAAACATAAATTAATATAATTTGTTTTGTTTTAATGGTTTTTTAATGATTCTTTAGTGATAATATTATCCTATACGCAATAATTATGTAAATAAATATTAAAAACTATTATCATTAATAATCCAAAAATGTTTAACTTTTAGATAATGAATTGATAAAAATGCTGAAATTATTTTTAGTCAATTCACTTTACTATTAAATAAGATTAAGAAGGTGTAGTTACAAATATTATTTAACAAATTATTTTATCATTATTGCATTTTTGTCGAATCTCGTATTAAATCGCAGTCAACCGATTAAATGCTAATTTTTAACTTCTTCCTATATCAAATTTCTATTCAAAAATTCTAAATGATATAAAATTTGAGATTGAAAATAAGAAATAAAAAATAACCTAATTTAAAGGAGAATTTTATTATAATTTTTAATCATTAACTTCATCTTATTTTTCATCCTAATCTCTATTATTTTACATCAATTTTAATATTTTTAATTTTTATCGAATTTAATCATTCACATCGATATCATGTAATAAACAAACAATTGCAAAAAAATAGAAAAAAATGATTAGCAATGATAATGCATGCATAATATGGAAGAAATATTTTAATTGATGAGATACCTTATAAAAAAGGTATTTTATTTAAATGTAAAAATTGATAAGAATATAAAATAAAAAGAATATTAGTTAAATTAGATTATATTTAGGTTGTTATAAATAATTATTATTAATTAGATTATAAATAATTGAAGTTTATGTTAATAGAAACGGAAATAGACAAATATAAAGTGCGACTTTATTTTTACATATATAGTCATCTTCGTTTCATTTACAAACAAGCAAATTAAATTAATTGTCAATCAACATTTTTGTATTTGTTTTGATTTCTAGAAATGATTTTTCTACAAATATATTCCAAAAAATATATTATTAACATTTTCCGTATGAAATAATCATCGCATAAGATTCATCTAATTCAATCAAATTAATTTTTTAAATTAAACGCTATAAATTACTTTTTTAATAACAAATTTTAAAATTATTAAATAATTTTTTATTTAATTATTTGTATTAAGTTATTAAATTATTATTAAAAAAATGAAAAATTAATTTTGCAATGATATATTTTAGATTTAATAAAAATTTTTACATTTTTGTTTTTGTTTTTGTTTATATCTATTTCGATATATATTAGATAAAACAAAAAAAGATTGAAAAAATAATGAATGATTTACTTTCTATTATGAGAATGTTATATGATATTTTTTATGACACTTTCAGAGTTAATAAACGTGTTTATTATAATCATTAAGTTTATTAAAGTTTTACGCTATATATCATATTGATTACATATTTATTTATATATGTAGATAGTATATGATCTATGCATTGATTGGTCCATCGCATGATTAAAATCATGTAAATATTTGAAATGATAGAAAGATTATTTAAATTTCCGGAGTAACAAGCTCTGATATCTGTTGATATGAACTAAGTTGTTTTTTATTACAATTATTTCTTATTTTGCTCATATTTTTGTATATAAAATATATATTTATATATTTTGTATATATATTCTGTATATATTTTGTATATTTTTCATATTTGATGTGAATATAAATTTGATATAAATTTGATTTGATGATATATTTAAGTCATAATTAAAAAAAACATTTTATATGATTTTACGTATTAATCATTTGCAGCTTAAATAATCTTGTATAACTTCTATTTAATTTTATTAAAATTTCTTGTTCTTTTTTGATAATGTTAAAAGATTTTTCAGAAATAAGTTGAATAGTTTTGAAAAATATATACTTTGGCATAATTTTTTTTTGTAAGTATGCGTAGATTATTGATTTTTTTTAAACGAAAAATATATTTTTTAATACATTATTCGATCCAAGTAAATATTTCTCACGAAAAATATTCACATAAAAACCGAAACATCATTACTTTAGGAGATATTACATTTGATAATTATTTTTAATAAGTGTTTTTGATAATTCTGATAATCAAGAAAGTTTAAAAATCACTTAATCTTTAAATTTATAACACTTATTTCAGAATCATACTCAAACTGCGATAATTTATTCTTTTTTATCTTGCTTTGTTATTGTTTTGATCTCTGATATAAATGCTTCATTTATTTCTATTTCATATTTTTGTTTATTCGTTACAATTTAAGAACAAGGCGCAAGTTTTAAAAAATTATACTTAAATTGTTGAAATATAATCAAAATAAAGTTATAAAAAAAAATTTGATATTGTTAATCATCATGATTATATATACAATTTTCAGATGAAATTTTGGATTGAATAATAAACTAATTAAACATTGCATAAATTTTCAATTTATAACAATAGAATTTTACTATTTAAAACTTCAATGCATATGAAAGTGAAATAATATAATTTATTTTTAAAGATAAATGATATTTATCTTTTGAAAGATTATTCTGAGTTTAATTCAAAAAAGTTAAGTTATATTAGGTTATGTTATGGATACCGCCAATAATTGCTTGCTTTAAAGATTTTTAATAATAAATAAGATTTAATAGTCCTTTGGAATAAAAAAAAACGAAATCTTATTATATTCTGAGAAAATAGGTTGTAATACATTTTGTATACTATTATATTTCATTATTATTTTCATTATTATTTCAAATAAAATGTAAGATAGACATTCAATGGAACTTCTTGTTTTATGTTCTGAAATACCGATTGTACAAAAAATTAGAGTGTTTAGTTATGCCCTCTACAATTTAAAGCAACGAATATAAATTATATTCAATCCAATTATTGAAATAAGTAAAGAAAACAAAGATATATTATAGATAAAGAAAAAAAATAAGTATAAATATACTTATTACATTTTTATTACATATAATCATTACATCTACATGTGTGTGTGTGTGTGTGTGTGTGTGTGTGTGTGTGTATTGCAGATTAAAAAATTTCATGAATTTTTATATCAGTAATAAGATTCCTGTATATCAATTTCATACAAGTTATTCAAAATTTTTTTCTTTTGGCTATAATATTGAGATATTATCAATTTTTCAAATTTATTTTAAAAATTTCTCTAAATATAATTTACTAAAATTATTGATGAAATGAAAAAGAAATTAACTTGCTCTCTGATCTCAATAATTTTTATATATATTATAGACGAGATTTTGAATAATTTTTTCCTATATATGTAATCATCAGTTTCAGTTTTTAGATATTTGCAAAAATATTTACAAAAATATATACAAAAAACTATGGCATATAAAAAAAAATTATTGTTATGCCATATACTATTCATAAAATATGATGTTAAGATAAAATATGCGTTATCATGCGACTGTTCCTATTAACTATTATATTCATATAAACATATCACGGTGGCTGGTACCAAAATTATAGTATTACACGTGTGAGCAGTGAATGATATTGACTCCTTAAAAGAAAAAAATTAGCAATGACATTAAGAACACAATGTTTTTCAAGTCTCAACATATCTGTTCGCAAGATCGTCCTATTAGTTACAGCCTTTACAATAGCATTCAATGTACATAATATGCATAATTTATAATAAATTATTAATTCACAATAAACTTATAGTCATATTTTTTTTAATTAGTTTTAATTTTATTACATTTTAATTTTTACTACAGCATAAATATTTATATATTTAGATTCTTATATTGTGTTTGTTTTATTATGGTTTTCGATCGATCACTCATAATCTTTCTAAAAAGTTTTTACATAGACATAAATCATCACTTTTATATATATATATATATATATATATATATATATATATATATATATATCACGGTGGCTGGTACCAAAATTATAGTATTACACGTGTGAGCAGTGAATGATATTGACTCCTTAAAAGAAAAAAATTAGCAATGACATTAAGAACACAATGTTTTTCAAGTCTCAACATATCTGTTCGCAAGATCGTCCTATTAGTTACAGCCTTTACAATAGCATTCAATGTACATAATATGCATAATTTATAATAAATTATTAATTCACAATAAACTTATAGTCATATTTTTTTAATTTAGTTTTAATTTTATTACATTTTAATTTTTACTACAGCATAAATATTTATATATTTAGATTCTTATATTGTGTTTGTTTTATTATGGTTTTCGATCGATCACTCATAATCTTTCTAAAAAGTTATTTACATAGACATAAATCATCACTTTTATATATATATATATATATATATATATATATATATATATATATATTTATATACATATAGCAATGCAATCAATCGTGTGACTGGATATACAGAAAAACGATCGTTTTAAAATCAGTCAGTCGTGTAATTCGACGACTCTTTTTCTGGGAAAAAGACAACTTTGATTTTTCTTTTATAAAAATATGATTTTGTTGATGAAAATAAGATTAAATATATAAGTGAAATGATTTTATATTATACATAATAATAATAATATTGCGAATTTATCTAACATTTCGCTCACTCTTATTTCCAATAAAATGATTATTGGAATCTTTTCCTTTCATTATTATTTATTCTCTTTCAATCGTACACTTTCTTTCCTTGTCACCGTCTAAACAAAAGTCGCTATTGTTAGAAATGAACAATCGAATTGCCGATATCAAACGAAGTTGTGAAACTCGATCGTCTAATTGATAAACATGACATACCATTTTTTTATAATTAGCTGATTTCAATCTGCTACCGCTTATGCATGTTATGTATATTTCGAAAGAAATTTCAATGTGATATATAAGTTCTTAAAATAAAAATGAATGTAATAAAGATTATAATATTTATTTTTTTAATATTTTTAAAAATAAAAACTTTTGCAATTATGATGTATTAAAATTGAAATAAATGTAAAAAAATTATAAGCATAATATTTTCCATGCAAAACTATCTAGT